TTAAAAACTAAATATAAGTGAAAAACTTGGGAAAATATGTGTTAAAACATAATACTAAACAGACTTCATATCTTTGATATTTAAGAGCTCTTATAAATCAGTAAGAAACAGATAGACACTGTAAAATAAAAATGGATCATGCATAACCTAGAAATATAGTTAGCGAGCCCACAAATGAAAAGGTGATCAATCACACTCTTATTAAAGAAATACAAATTTAAATTTCAGTGAGATATGATTTTTTCATCTACAATACTGACCAATTCTGAAAAGGCCCATCATTGGCATGAATGTGGAGAAAGAGACACCTTCATAGCTGGTTGACAATACAACACACAGAAACAAAATTTTTCCAGTCATTCTGAAAATGTGTACTAAAGCTTAAAATCCTAGCAGAAAATCCTAAAGCTACAAATCCTGGTAGAAATTCTACTTTAAGAATTTATGCTAAAGAGTTCATAAAACAAATGCTTAAGTATAAAGAAAGCTTGTCCAAGTACAATTTAACCTGGAAGAAATTAGAATTTAAATTAATGTCTCAGATACAAAATTAGTTTAGTAAGTATGGTACAATAATATAATTTAGCATTTGCAGCCATTCAAATTGATAATGTAGAAGTGTGGAATTGTACTTGTAGACATGACAAGATGTTCCCTTTTCGTGACAGGTTAAAACACTCAGTGTATCATAGAATGTTATTTTTTAGAAAGAAAATACACATGCCTAGAATTCTGGAAAAATATATAGCCCAATACTAGCAGTTGTCATCTATGAGTAATTGTAAAAGTAATTGTATTGTGTCCAATTTGAGAATGATTTACAATGGCTTCTGATTTTGAAAATCACCAGATTGCACATACCTGTTTACAATTTGGAGTAAAAGATTTTCTCCATTAGTAAGGGCTCTGATATTAAGCATATTTTCTTTTTCCTTTTCTGCAAAATTATTCTAAGAAAGTTGACTTATTGAGGGAAGGACAGTTCTAATTTTTCTTTCCATATGTTATGGCTCCATCAGGCACTGGCTGGAGGAATCCAGTAGAGAGGATTGGCCAGGAGCGGCCGAGTTGTGTTTCTGGGAACTGAGGTCAAAGCTGATTATTGTTGGCTTCTCTTTTGAGTCAGTAATATTTGACTTGTTTTCTGGGCTAGTGACCTGAGAAAGCCTGATAGTCTAGAACTATGGCTATGTTAATTAGGGGCCCTGGTTACTTCTCACTGTGCACGGAAGTCAAATCATCGCACTGCCCCTCACCAATATGCACAAATATTCTAGGTCAATCAAAAATATGCAAGAAAATCAGGCTCTTTAGTTTAAAGAAGAGGAGCTATGCAATGATTTGGATTTCAGAGCCTTCCTTTACACTCTCAGCCCATCAACGATGCTTGCAAGAGTTGACAATAAATGATTAAATCAATTGTAACAAAACAAGTATTATCTAAGGATCTAAACATCCGAGTTCTAATTTTTTGGAAGCAAAATATTTATTGGTACATTTTAGATATTAAGATTGGTACATTTTAGATGTTCAGATTCTAAATTTTAAAAACAGTTTGCTTGCAATGGTTGGGACATAGAAAGATGCCCCACCGGGCTGCTGGTAGTCAATTTAGACAACAGAGATGCGATCAACAGCACAAAGAGCACAGAGAGCATGTCGTGTTTTAAATTTAGGCTAAAAAATTTAACTCAGAATATTTACCTTTAAAGATTATGAAATGTTGTAATACAGATACTGTCTGATTTGTCAGTATTTCTTTCTGTTCCTTACAGTATATGGTATGTATTAAAAGCTTAATAACTGTTGATTGCATTAATCTATTTCTGCTACTACTACTTCCTCTACCTTAAACATAATTTTTATTAGCTACTGTTTGTTAAGTGTTTGCTGTATGCTGTCTGGGGATAACCACTTTTGATCATTATACCCAGCACTCTATCACTGAGTTAGACATATTGAGTTTCTAACGTCAGACGGCTAGGAAATGAGGGAGTCCGTTTGGCCATGAGCTCAATCGCCACCCAATAATGCTGGGATAAACCATGAAAGAAATGAAAACCCAGTGACTCTTCCCTAAAGAGCCCGAGACGCCTCCTGTCCCATACTCTTCCTCAGATTTCCCTCAGGATGTTAAGGTGCCTGCACATTTTGGGCTCCTTTGCTTACATTTCTACAAAGTGGGTCTTAGTACACAGCTGTGCTGCCAACTTTTCTTTCCTAACATTCTACGCCTTCCCCGTTGCTGACTCACACACCACTCTGACCCCGGGAGCAGTTGTCCTTCAGTCCTAGGCCTCCGCGTAAGGGACTACACTTTGGAAGCCCACAGCAGGAGGGTGCAGGAGTGGGATATGGCCAGTGGAGAGGAGAAGGCAGGAGGTGAATTTTTCTAGTAGCTGACCTGGCTGGTATGCTTGGCTGCTGCTATAAAACAGCCACCATCGATCTCATTATGGGTTCCTGGGGAGGCAGCACAACTCGGTGTGGAAAAGTGCAGTCTTGGTAACCATACTTCTTGAATGTGAAGTCAGAATTTTTTCCTCAATGGAGAGCCCATGTGTTAATATGTGCAAAATGTTTAAAATAGCACTTGAAATATAGTACGTGAATATTAACTCTGTATGTGTATCACTTGACTTATCCCTCAGCATCTGTGAGTCCCACGACCACATATCCAGCGAAAGATGGCTTGAAAATATTCAAAAAAACTGCCTCTTTCCTGAACATGCACCGTTTTTTCTTGTCAGTTTCCCCTAAACAATACAGTACAGCAGTGATTTTACATGGCACTTATATTGTTAGGTGTTATAGCCTAGCGCTTAAAATGTATTACTTAGAATGATTACTTAAAATGTATGAGAAGATGTGTACAAGTTGCCTAAAAATACTATGCCATTTTATAGAAGGGACTTGAGCATCTGCAGATTTTGGGTACTTATCGTCTTGGAACCAGCCCCGGTGGACACTAAAGGGTAACTACATATGGTTTGTAGAGGTCATTCTGTTTTCTTGGCCTTGAATGGATAGGAATGAGAGACGCTGAAGAATCCACAAAACCCGAGATCGTTCCTTCTCCGTGCACTGAGCATGGTCCTCCAGATATGGAGAAAAGTTCTCTTATCTAAGCAATGAGGTCAAATCAAATTTCTGCACAGGCAATAGATGGACAGTAATGGAAAAGGGAGTGTGCTGGGGGCCACAGGAAATGAGTGAGGGATTTACCGGGAAAGATAGTTGTGTTGGACAAATCCCCTGCAGATGCCCCTCAGGAAGAAGTCACCTGGAGGCAAGAGGCAGCTTACGCCACCCCGAGATGACAGCAGATAATAGTCGCAGTGGGGCTGCAGGTGGAAATCCATGTAGGTGAAGAGAAGGTTTAATGTGAGCAATGGGACCAGGCAAGGGTCAATTCAAGGTGTGGGAATCAAAAGTGACACTGAACTGTGAAAAGGAATCTGTTTTCCGTCCCAGACTGCTGGAGAATGAGTGTGGCTGACATCAAGGAGAAACCGACTGATTATCTGACCAAGACTGGGAAGAGAAGAGTATTGCTGGGAGATGATTGGCCTCAAATCGGCCAGACCCCTGCACAGCTGAAAAAGAGAAATGATAGCAAAGAATAAATCCAGCAAGGAGACCTGTTTCATGGGTAGACATCTTGTTCTTGCAATTCACCTCGACTGTATATAAATGGATCTTTAGAAATGCTCCCATGTGCCAGTGACAGGAGTTGTATGCTTGCAGCACAGTAGGGCATGAGGTGTCGGGTGTGGAGTGCCGCACTGGGGCAGAGATGGCTCTGGTGTCAGGAAGACCTGGAGTGAATCCGGGTTCTAACCCTTTTCCTTCCTGTGTGATGCTCAGCAAGTAAGCACCCCTCTGAGACCTCTTCTCATCTGGCAACACACCCATAGTGCAATAAGCATCATAGCTCTGTAATGAATATTCGATTAGGTAACTTGTTATATACTAAGTGCCCAATAAAGGCTAGTTGTTAGGATTTTTATAACAACAGGCTATTTTCTTTTGGCTGAAGAAATTCCTTTCTTTTTGGGCATGAATGGTTGATAGACAAGTGACCACGAAAAGCAGAGAGAGGAATTTGGTGGGAGGAGCCTCCTTTTAAAAATACAAACAGAGAATGTCTCCCATGCTGAAGGTGGAGGTGGAAGTGGTGCCATGAATCATGCACCTCTCCAGCAGCATGGAGAATCGTTTCCACTCATGACCTAGGAAAACACTTTCTTCTCCATCAACTTCCACAAGGCATCCTTGATCTCTTTGTTCCTCAAACTGTAAATGAGAGGGTTCAGCATGGGGATCACCAGTGAATAGCACACAGACACCACCTTATCCCTGCTGAGCGAGTAGCTGGAGCTGGGTCGCAGGTACATGAAAAGAGCTGTCCCGAACAACAGAGTCACCACCGTCAGGTGCGAGGCACAGGTGTTGAAGGCTTTCCATCGGCCTTCCACTGAGCAGATCTTCAAGACAGCAGACACTATGTGACTGTAGGAGATCAGGAGGATGAGACATGATGTTCCTCCAACAGCGCTCACCACAAGGCAGTTCATCACTTGACTGAGGAAGGTGTCAGAGCAAGAAAGAGCCAGAATTGGTGGGAGGTCACAGAAGAAGTGGTTGATGACATTTGGTCCGCAGAAGTTGAGACTAAATAAGGAGCTGGCCTGGACCAGGGAGCTCAGGAAGCCTCCAACATAAGCCCCAGCCACCATGCGCATACAGACACCTGGGGACATGATGGTGGTGTAGAGAAGGGGTCTGGAGATGGCTGCAGATCGGTCACACGCCATGGCAGTCAGGAGGAGACACTCAGTTAGACCCATGCCCACGAAGAAAAAAAACTGAGCAGCACATCCCGAGAATGATATGGTCTTCTGCTCCCGAAAAAAGTCTGTGAGCATCTTGGGAGCCACAGTAGAAGAGTAGCAAATGTCAATGAAGGACAGGTTGCTGAGGAAGAAGTACATGGGTGTGTGCAGACGGCTGTCAGCTCTGATCAGAAAGATGAGGGCCAGGTTCCAAACCAGAGTCACAAAGTAGATGCCCAGGAATGTCACAAAGAGGAAGGCTTGGAGTTCCACATGGTCTGTGAAGCCCAGGAGGACAAACATGGCCACGGATGAGCTGTTCCAGGCTTCGGCTATGGGCATGTTGCTCATGGACCAGAAGGACAAGATGCAGACCTGGGCCAATAATGACCATCCACGTTGCAAGTGGTGTCAGTAAACGATCACAAATGCACGAGAAGGAGGGCAGGAGATTGTCAAGGGTTAAACTTGACAGAGATTCTTTCTTTCTCAGAAGGCTATTGGTGTCATTATCTTAACCATTTGAACAAAATATTGTAGCTGATGTGATTTTAAGCTTTCAATTCATGAGCCACAGCATCAACTCCTCCTGCTTCCATTATTTACAATTTCTATCACTTTAGGTGAGAGACCCTAACATCTCTTGCTTCAATTTCTTTATCTGTAAAACTGGGTGACAGTGATTGATTCACACACGTTTTAAGAATTAAATAAATCAAAATATGTAAGAATGCCTGACACATAGTAGTGACCGGTAAGTTATGATTAGAAAGGTTCTGTGATGAGTCAAGGTATCGTATAAGTAGCTAGTTATCTACTTTGTTCAGGTTTCAACATTAGAATGGAAAAATAAATGAAAGCAGGTAGATGTGTGTGGTTGAGAGGTGATCAGTAAGATGCACAGAATGCTTTTAATGCAAAGAATCAGGCCAGCTATGTATAGAAATGATCTTAGTTGTCAAATCCTGAACTATTTAACCGAGAGTGTGGGCTCTGGATCTAAACTCCTTCAATTCAATTCGCAGCCTTGCTACATAGTTCTAGAAATCATTCTAGGTCAGGTATCTTCATAATTTGGGAAGTAACACTTTCCCTGTTGCTCAAATTAGGAGAGTCATTTCATTTTAAATCCCCAGTTCTCACAAATCAATCTGTATCCTCATTGCTAGTCAAAATCTCACTGACCTTTTAATGATTCTCCTGGAACTTGCACAGAGAGATGAAATTGAGGCCCATCCTCTCTCCTCAGTAGCTGCTGCTATATATTTTCAGTGCTGAATCCTTCAAATCTGAATGGTGAGGGAATTTGAAGCTCCTTTTAGTCAACACGATGTTATCTTTTATGCAGTTTCACAGACTCCTCACAGTAGCTGCAGTCCTGTCAGAATGATTATGCATTAACCTATATTTGAAGCTTACACACCCATGTGGGAAAGGCATGAAAACTTGCCAGGGTTGAGAAGATTCTTTTTCCTTGGTGAAAAAAAAGAGTCTGGCAGCAAACTGTAGCATATTTGAATGGAGATGTAGAGCCACATAGAGAAATTGGGAGTTAAAAGAGAAAGAGCTCTCAGAGCTGAAATCAATGCAATGGAGACTAAGAGAATGATACAAAAAATCAATGAAGCCAAGAGTTGGTTCTTTGAAAGAATAAACAAAATTGACAAACCTTAGCCAGCCTTATCAGAAAAAGGAAAGAAAAGGCCCAAATCCATGCAATTAGGAATGAAAAGGGTGAAATTACAACAGACCCAGCAGAAATACAGAGGATCATCAATAACTACTTCCAGAACCTATATGCCAATAAGACAGAAAACACAGAAGAAATGGACAGATTCCTAGATATGTGTGAATTACCAAAGTTGAACAAAGAAGACCTAAAAAATTTAAACAACCCAATATCAATCAATGAAATTGAAAACATAACTAAAAACTTACCAACGAAGAAAAGTCTGGATCCTGATGGCTTCACTGCCAAATTCTACAAGACGTTTAGGGAAGAACTACTGCCACTACTGTTTAAACTCCTCAATGAAATTGAAAGAGAAGCAATACTCCCGAATTCATTCCTGGAAGCAAGCATCACCTTGATCCCCAAAGGAGAGAAAGACCCAATCAAAAAAGAGAACTATAGGCCAATCTCACTAACATAGATGCAAAAATTTTAAATAAGATACTGGCAAATAGAATGCAGAAGATCATCAAGAAGATCATACACCCAGACCAAGTGGGATTTATCCCAGGGATGCAGGGATGGTCCAACATATGCAAATCAATCAACACTACATCAATAGAGCCAAGGACAAAAACCATATGATCATCTCAATAGATGCAGAAAAAGCATTTGGCAAAATCCAACACACATTTATGTTAAAAACCCTACAAAATATTAGAATAGATGGTCTGTACCTCAATCTGATAAAAGCCATCTATAAAAAACCAACAGCCAATATCATTCTAAATGGTCAAAAACTGAAATCCTTCACACTAAAATCAGGAACAAGACAAGGATGTCCACTATCACCACTC